GAGTTCGAAACCTTGTGTACGTAGCAGCCTTCGTTGGGAGACCCACCCACCATTCTGGTGCGACACAGCTGGTCGAGTCCGGAGTAGTAGGGGCAAAGCCCCGGATACCGGTCGGGAAACCAAAAAAAATCTACTATAGCAATGAAGTTTCTATATTACAAACCATGCATGTTAAATAAAACACCATGAATCATTGATGGCAGTCGATGAACAGGTATGGGGCCATAAATCATGCCCTGCCAAGGGCAACACATGCATTGTTACCATATTCACATGGATGACAACATCAGACCCATATTTCCTGTCAAATAATTTCCTTTAAAACAGGATACCCACACATACCTACAAAGATATCCAGATTCCAGACAAGAATGTTGGTGATCTGGATGAACTGTACTCACTCAATTCTTCAGACTCTTGGCAAACCACAACACCAGCCAGTCTTGGGAACCAATGCATACAGTGAGATTCTGTATTCTCCCATGTATGAAAGACTCCAAAAGTTAAGACACATCAAAACCCTCAAAAAGGTTATACAATTACAAGATAATTATTAGTGTTCCACAAAACACAAACAACCCAAAATATATATCTTCATGGATTACTTACAATCTTCTTTCTCTCTCTCCCTCTCTCATGCTCCAAGCATCAATGTTACATCCTGCAATAAGCAATTCCAAGCAAGTGACGTGTGGATTTAGGAAAATAACATGCACAGACAATTTTGACACATGCAGAAAACACTAAGCACAGACATATAACTAGTGCATGGATAAGCAGTTGGAGTGACAACAACATTGTGCTTACCTAGGGCTACACCCAAAAGATGATAAAAATGAAAGGTCTAAAATGAAAAATAGGGATTTTACTTCTACTTTCAACTAAGAACCACGTAATAACAACCTCAAACAAAAGAATGCAACTTCAAGCAGAAGTGCACCTTAAGAGTGAAAAACTGTCAATATGGTTCTCTATGCTAAAAAGTTATAGCCTGGGAATTTTGGGGCAAGCATGACTTTAGCTTACTTGGCATGTTCAAATTGCCAACTTTGAATCAATTGTTCCAGCTGAATTTCCTTCTCCAGTTAGAATCTGGTCAGGATCCTGCATATCAAATGGCAATCAGTGACATTCAACAAGAACTGAAGATGTGATAAGTCAGGGCCAGCAGGGCATGTACCTCCATTCCCCATTTGATGTAATCGGGGGACTCGCAAGCCTTGTATTCATCAACTAAGCTTTCAATTATGTCTCTTGATTCATCAAACTCTGAAAGATCATTGTCCTGTTCACAGTCAATGCTGTTGAATTAGGAAAGTAATGAATAGTGGGTGACATGCCTTTGAGGATACCTATCTATTACCAGATGAGCTGTAGCAAAAAGTGAAGCATAATCCCATTGCAAAGAATATTGTTTATTGAAAAAATAATGTGATCACAATTTAATCATGGGTATGTCATCTACTTAGCAAGAGCAGTGTTGAATAACCTAGATGTTAACTCAAATTTACTTGTGTGATTTATCTACCTGCATGAATCTGCAGATGCCTTAGAACACATGTCTATTAATTAGTAATTACAACCACAGTATCCACACAAAAAATGTGAAGCTGAAACAAAATGAAGATTGCAAATTTGCAATGTGTGATAACTTACAGCAAACATTGGGAACTTCCGGTAATTGTCCAGAAAGGCTTGCTTCTTTCTCAACTTCTCATACTGGCTCAAACATTTGCTGAAGAGGTGGCGAATACTAGTATGACTTGCTAGCATGAGACCACTTACCTGACAAATGCAACACACATAACTTCACACTCTCATTCTAATCAATTAGTTTTCCAACAAAACAGACATCACATGCCAAGCCTCTCATCATTGTCATGCAAAAGCTATACATTCTCAACAAACATTTTAAGCATAATAAACATACAGAAGCAGCAAGATGATGGATCAAAAAATAGGTGTAAGTGAAGAACCAACCCTGTGAGCAGTCTGGACATATGGAGACTTTCTAGAAAGAGCAACCTACAGAACACCAGAATTAAACATTGAGCAAGTAATAAGAATTGGGCAAGTGTAGATATTTGGAGAGAGAAGAAAAAATTGGCCAAAGTGACAACTATTGCTTTAATATGGATGAAGACCTGAATACTTGCAGGGCCCCACTCAATAAAGTTTACAAGCTTTCTTTCACGAATCCTCTGCAAACTTTCATGCACCTGATGAAATGTAAGTGAGTTTATTAGGTAGGTATAACTTTTAAGAAAAGAAAACAACCAGACCACCATGTAACTTTTACAGGAGAATAGAAGAATAGAATAGAAGTCAACAGAGAGGAAAGCAAAGTCTTTGACAGTCTGGAGCAAGCAATTAGAAGAAATTCTAGATGCATTTGCAGCAAAGGAAATGCAGACTTAGGAGGCACATTACTCAAAGAAAGTGACCGTGTTACTTCATTAACACAATACATTTATAGTACCTGAGTGGGATCCACTTCTCCTTGAATGATATTCAAGATAGAAATATACTTTGCTTGACTGGCTTCTTTTGTGCGAGCATAAGAGGAAACCATAATATTCTTTGTCTGCAAGGGGGATGATAGTCAGCAGAATGTGAGACTATTTTGTTAAAACAAATAGTCAATTACAATGGAAAATCTGACCTGGAGAAGTCTTCTCATAACATCCAAAACAGTAGTTTTCCGAATCACATTAGCCTGCCAAAAACGGCAAAAAGAGATAATACTTGCATCAAAAGCAGAGAATTTCCTCCTTTGACATAGCTGGAATAATGTGAATAGGAATGATACAAAATACATAAATGATCACTGCAACAGAAAGTCATATATTACATCAAAAAATTTTGCCTCTAGTCATTCCTGAGTTAGCTGGCATATTGCTGCTATGAGAAATTTAATAGATTCAATATAGAATTACGTAGGGTTCCTTTTCCCTCATCAAGCAGTTAGTTAACGCCTGCTTTTTTTTCTTTGTAATTGTAGCTACCAAAGTATCATGCTTCCTCCTAGCTCTAGGTCCCTCTGTTGCTACTCCATTTTACTTTCTAAGTTAAGAAATTTAAAACCATTCAAATTCATATTTATTTGTTGCTCCCCTAAACTCTAGAAATGCCAAAAAATTTGATAGGCCAAGAGACCTTTAAAAAACCAGAAGCAACAACACACAACAAATACAGAAGTCCAAATAAACAGTAAGCCTATTAGAACATTACCTGGCGCTCCACAGTGAGTGGCGTGTACCCTGTCATAAGAAAATGACATCTTGGAGTTGGAATTAGAGAGGCAAGAAGACCAACCAAGTCATTGTTCATGTATCCAGGATACCGCAGTGTGGTTGTGCTGGCAGACATTACTGTAGAGACCAAAGAATTGGTTTGACCAAAAGTGGGATTACTTAGATGTAGACGTTCCACAGCAATTCTATTCAGAGCAGTATTGTCAAGAACAACAACACAATCGGCATTTAATGTTAGTCTCTTGAGTGTCAAAAGCGAGTTGTAAGGCTGGACCACCACATCACTTGTTTCCATCTGGTTAGGGAATACACTATATGTCTGAACCAGCTTCTTGCTGTAGCGATCATTCAGAGTCTCCAACAGATAGGAACCCATACCTTCAACATGCAACAAGAAGCACTTAAAGTGTGTGCAACCAAGAGAACAGGCTGAACAGCAAAGATAATTGCGGTTTGCTGTCCTACTTGCATTTCAATTTCCAATCTCCATCAAAATCAAATGAAAAATATGTAACATTGGCTAAATTCCTCATCAATGTGACTTACAGAGATATAATCACACGCATGTAAAGAACAAGAGGAGAAAAAAATCCTTAAAAATAATTAATCAAAATTTAAATCCTTGAAAGAACAAAAAGGAGGAAAAGAATAAAAGAGGGAAGCACTTGAGTGTATGAAAACCTGAGCCTGTCCCTCCAGCAATTGAATGACATAGAACAAAACCCTCAAGACTATCACTTCCATCAGCTTCTCTATCAATCATGTCCATTATGTCCTCTTCAACACCCTTTCCCTGTTCAATGTTATTAAATAGAACAGAACTGTCTTAAAGTTAAACATCCCACCACAATAGATTAAATATATAACTATGCATACATCATGTCAAGGTATAACAACATAAATTTGTTTAAAAAAAAGAAAGAAAGAAAGAAGACAAACCTGATGATATCCACTAGCCCAATTGTTTCCGGCACCACCACCATGATCAGAAACGAATATATTTTCATGATTATAAAGGTTTCTATATTCACTATTTTGAATGCCATTAATTACTCTAGGCTCCAAATCTATCAGTAAAGCTCGAGGTATGTAATGCTGGTCATCAGCTTGATAGAAAAACACATCTTTCCTGTCACCTCCCTGCAGTCTCCAACTGGAACTAATCAGTACATAATCACTCGAGTTTCAACATGGTAACAGAATAGAGTCATTACAATCAAAATTTTTGACATCACAAAGACTGGCAATGATGCAAAACCTCCGAGTGAATTGTATCATTCTCAGAGGTAAGCAAAATCGAGAAATGGAAGTTGATTCCATTTCCATCAAAACGCAATTTCTTCATTTAAAGGCTGAATACAGTCCGAATTGCACAGTGGACGAAACTCAAATTCAAGAAAATTATCAGAATCCTAATCTGAACAGAATATCTGTAGAAATCTAGCTTGATTGCATCAAAACTAATCTTTTTTTAGCAAGTATCAGATCAAGACCTAAAACGATTCATCAACCAGGTTCGCGAGCAACCAAACATCTGACTTCGTAACGAAATGGAAAACAGAACACGAAACCTGAGTAGCGAAGTCTTCGAGAATGCCTTCTTTGCTGATACCATGCTCGAGGCAAAGCTGCTTCCAGAACTCCATCCCGATCTGGTTCCCGCATTGTCCCACCTGAAGCGTGATGATTTCTCTCGGCATTTTTTTCCGTTTCCTCTCGCTCTCTCCCAAAAGCTAGGGTTCCGATCGGGAGGAGAAGAGAAGAAGTCTATCTCTGGCGCGGAACCGCCTTTTTGAAAAAGAAGAATGTGGGAAGGTGGTGGTGATGTTATCCTTTCTGTTTTGGGCGAAAAACGCCTTTTATATAGGGGGAGCAGATCAGTGCCAGTTACAAGTGACAACAGTATTTTTGCGCCGCCTTCATTTTGCTTAGTGACACATACCATACCATACTGCGCCTGAAATGAGAAAACATCCTTCTCCTTCGCTCCCCTCCTTTTGGGCCGTAGTTTTTGGTGTATTATAATACTGTAATAGCTTCTTAGTGGGCCATTTGGGTTGCTTTTTCTTTCAATCCAACTGAGTGAACTGTCCATTACTTGTTTTGGGTTTAATTGCAGAGGAAAGAATTGCATGTTCGAATTTCCATACAACCCTGAATTTTAAAATGATTTGAAAATATAATAATAATAATAATAATAATAGAAGATGATTTTATTTATAAAGAATTTTTACAGATTATATTTATATAAAATTTTAATTTTTTATTTTTTATTTTTAATATTTAAAATTTATTATAATTTTTTAAATAAAAAATAATTATCTATAATAAATATAAATAAATCTTAATTATTAAAGATATAGAAATAAATAGTTAAAATTTTGTATAAATATAAAGTGTAAGATTATGCGTAAAAAGATCCATACTCATAATAATAACAAGGTTTTTTTTTCTAATTTATATATTTAATATTTATTATACCATTTAATAATAAATAGATATTATTTTCAAAGCCAATGCCATATTAAAGATTTTAATTATATAAAATTAAAGTTAATTTTTATTTTATTTTACAAAAATAAATTATTAAAAAGTACAATAAATACATCAAAGGTTACAAAAACCCTAATAACAATAATATTACCATTTTTTTTATGTTGATTGCAGAACGAAAGGCAACCCTCTCTTATCTTTTATCTTACTATACTCACATATCATGTGATTTGAATTCATAACATTTTACTTTCAATAAAAAAAATTACCACTGAATTATTTAAATCATTCGTAATAATATTACCCATTTTTATTATTTAGTTGTCCCTACAATAATTAATAGTGCTTGAGATCTCATACTACCTAGTTATAGGAACAAATTTAAAATTGGAGCATTTATTGTCTTTTAAAAGTAAAAATTGATACAATTAAATAAAAACAATTTTACTGAGGTCAATATTCAAAAGGTGTCCATAAAAAAAGTATTCAACAACATGATTTTTATCTATAATTTTTTTTTCTAAATTATTATACAATTCAAAGTTTTAAATATCCTCATTTATTTAATTAAAATTTAATAATTAATAACTATTATTATTTATAATCTAAATACACTTACCCATCAAATTACTCTCATGAGAAAATAAATATTAGTGCAAACAAGACCTTGGTAAATGGATCAATTAAAAACAACCCGAGGGAGTAGAAATAGAAATAGAAATAGAATACCAAATTGTGAATTCCACACTAGAAATCATGGGCTCTGCACACGGCGGCTCTAGCAGAAGATGAGAGATTGAGAGATGTACGTACATAATTTCATTTTTATTAGTTAATGGCATTACAACCACGAAAACCGACTTGACTACACAACAACTCCCTAGGGATAATGGCGTCGCCGTTTTCAGATGTGACTTTGATGCTGATCCCTTCAATTTTGGTCTTCTCTCAGGAGTACTTATTCAACCAAATTGGAAGAAACCAACAAGAAAACACTGCACCCAGAAACGACACTACTGCCAAGTTAAAAACTCGTTTCTAATGAGGCCACAGGAAGGCCCCCATGGCGAACTTCCGCTTCTGATGAACATCTCCGGTGATCGGCAGGCCGTACTCTTTAAGCAAACAATCGACCTTCCATTCCGGCATCGTCTCGTAGTCGGCTCTCGTATACCGAGGGTAGTGCAGCGGCATCTGAAACTGGTTGCATCGGTCCCCGGACTGCGGCCCGTTGGGGCCGCCGGAGAGGCTTGGAGGTGCCCCGGCTACTGAGTACTCCATGCTTGTCTTTCACGCTGTATTTCTTGGTGTATTAATGAGGCAAATTCTATTCTATGGTTTAGGTAATGACTAAGTGGACCTCTTTATAGAGGAGTCAAGGGAAAAAATGAATACTGAATACTTAATGTTGGACAAGGGGAGTGAACAATGTGTGAAGCAAAACATTGTCGAGGAAAATTGAATTATTGTGCTCACTTTTTTTTTAGAAATTATTGCACTCTTTTACTTACCAATGAAATAAAGTTTTACAATTCCAAAAATTTTTAAAAGGCAATATTGAATAAGGGACATCCAATTCTTCGAATTTGTGAAAGTGGTGACATCTTGATTTTTTCTAAATGAACAATTAAAAGGGTTT